ATAGGTCATATCAGGAGAACTGTTTCACAGTACCTTTATAATTAAGCACTCCTCAGCCGTCCTCTCGGTGTGGATTGCTACTGCTGGTTAATCTTCGGGGGTGGGGATCTGGGGAGGCAAATTTATGAAGGAGAAAACTAGGTTACTTATCAGTAACTGGAATTCTCTGAATATATTGCCTCCACAGATCCACACTAACCCTCCCTCCTTTTGTTAGAATTAACTCACGATTCACAAAAGCTGGATAAAAATGAAGGGACTGGGCGCTGTGATGCTAGAAAACCCTGTTTAAAAAAATCATCTCATGAGTCCGCTGAGGCAAATTAACGGCTTGAATACTTGGTCTAAACAACTCTAGGATTCACATACAACACATGAATTCATGAAAATGGAATTGTAGCAGTGATATCTCAAAGGTGGAATTACTGGAGAATGATCAAGCTTCAAGCACATTGGATTTGTGGGGTTTTTTTCCCTTTCACATGTCAAGTGAAATTCTTATCTACTCTTACTGTACTAAAGCATTACTAAACCCAGTATATTGTAATTTTCAGAGATCCTGCTAAAGACTTTTATTCTAATGAGAAGACAGGTAATATTTATTTGGCATGAATAGTTCATCGTAATTTAATCCTCTTCAGGGAGCACTTCTACTATCTTGCACATGTGTACTTAAGAGTTAATATTTCTATTCTACTTAGAGCATGTACTTTTTTCTGACCTAAGCCTTAAATTTTTAGGAAACATGCTTCATCCCAAATTTTCCATGGCTGTATTTCATTAAATGAGGTCTAATATGGAATAGCTATTCCCTTTCACATTACTGTAGAAGAATAAGACATCCTTTTACTATCTACAAAATTATTCAAAAAATCCAGTATGCACTCTCCTTGCACCAAGGGAGACTACTTGGACTACGTTTTATTTTATAATTTTTATTTTCTATGGAATTTGTTCCTAAATCAAAGTAACACTGGAAGATAATGAATACTAAAATAGAAAAATGTGGATGCACCTACCTACCTTTTGTCAAACCTTCCAATCCTGCCTTTGAATGTCTACACAACTAAATGAAGTCCCACATTGCCAAACCCAAAGTCCATGCTGGAATTTCATTCTGCTTCATCACCTATAGAGGGAGATGGTGTAACTTGCCAGAATATTGAAGACCATGCTTCAGGTGTGTGCTAGTATAGAGTGAATGATAACACCTCCTTTTTAACTCCATAGTAGCAAACATTTTCTTCTCATTTAAGGAAAAGGTATTAACACTCTTCTGAAAAAAATATTTCTGCATATATAGCTAGAACCTGCTTCGGGGAAAGGGTGGTATCATGCCTAGAGAACTGTGCAAACACATAATATACAAAGATTTCTAATTTTTGAGTAGTTATTGAATGGTTTGCTTGGACAGATGAAAGAGACCATGACACAAAGTGGATGATGATGCATTATAATGCCCAGGGAAAATGACTCATCTCAGCCTTCTACAACTGCATCTCTCCATAAGCAGTCTGGAATTAATGAAACTGGATGACAGTTGCATCTTAGAACTGCAAAGGTAAGCCTTCTAAATGAAGCAACAAATTTTTAAAATTGACAGCAGCACTCCAATTCAATTTTAGTAAGATCTGAAAAGTTAAAAAAATACTAAAGTCATACAAGCTCAGAGTTATACCCTGAAGAGTACTTCACATTCAATTCATTTGGGGTAAATCACTGTAGTCTCAGTTGCAGGAGAGATTTTAAAGGCTTTTTCTTTTCCATTAATCTTATATGGGGAATAGACAAGGCCCTGACTTCAGACTCTCACTGAAGAATGACAATGTCCAGCAGCAACTACCAGATTTTAAATCCTCTATTACTGCAATCAGCAGGCATTATTCAATCGGCCCATTAGTCTTCCTTGGAGCAACAAGAGTCCTGCCTCAGAAACAATCACTGGTCTTCCACAAAGACTCCTCCGAATGTACTCCTTCTCCAAAAGACTTTAATCCACTCCAGTTCTCCCTATGAAAGCAAAGGCCTAGACACACAAAAAGCAATCACTTGCAAACTACAAACCCCAATTTTTTTCTTATTTACTGTTTTTTTGTTCTGGTATCATCTTATATAATTTTTTAAGTGTATTTCATGTTTTTCTACTTGTTTAAGTTTTATTCTTGGTATTTGCAGTGGTTCTTACTAAATCCTCAATTATACTTTTTACCTTTTACTGTCCTGTACTGCTGCTTTGGCTTATATGTGCTTCTGGTCAGTATGATCATTCTTTCTCCCTCATCTTTTGTGGTTCCATCTCTACTCATTGGAACTTTCTTCCCCATATCTATCTATGCTCACTCTTTGCTCAATATAGTTTTTTGCTCCCTTTTCTTATGACTGTGGTCTGGCTTTGTTATTTTTTTTTTAATATTTTATTTTATTTTACTTTACAGCATGTATGTTTTTAGTGTGTGCTGCTCCAGCATGTTTTTGCATTCACTGCAAAAACAGGAAGAACAAAAGACAAAGTAAACTACTTCTATTGATATCATATCCTAGAAATGTTATGATTTGCTTCTTTCATCCTTCTCATTCTGTAGCTGGCTTGAATCAGGCTGGATAAACTTGAAACTAAATTACAGTAAAGCACCAAACAAGTTTCATGATATTGTACTTATATAATTATTCCAAATAAACCTGTTGTACTTATTTCTAGATACATGAATGTAAATGAAGGTAATAATGAAGAAAAAATTACATCTTCACTCTATGTTCTTTCACTTTGTCATTTTGCTTTTATTTTGGCTGAAATAAACTGAAGTATAACGAATCTTCAGCAGAGATATCTAAAGAGAAATCAGTAAAAAATGAAACTTTATTGGAAAGAGATTAGTAGAATTAGGATATGATGACTTCAGATGGTAACAACAGGTAGGGAGGATTCCTTTACTCAGGCACTTTAAACCTGACTCTGTTGAGCAGCTTAGACCAGCAAAAAACAAGTCAGTGCAGTATAAAGACAGTGATATTCCCCAAAGTCCACATCAGTCTTCATGAGCTAAAGGTAGTACACATTCTCACATTCTTAAGAGAGCCAAGATGCAACTAAACTGGTTTGGACATCAAAGGTTTGGACATAGGATCTCAAAATGCAGAGAATTAGTGCAGTATATTTTCAGTATATTTGACCTAAACCTCCTTTCTTCTCGTTTCTCATACACTCATTTGTCCAGAGCCTTGCAAGCAAGAGACATTACTTGACAGAAAAATTCAATTTCTGTCATTCTGATTGATAACCACTGAATGATGAAGACTTCCAAGCTATTATTTTCACTTCTTTAGAAAACAAAGGTTTCCCTTTGCTCAGTGACTGAGATTTTTAAGCAATCTACTAGTCACATTATTTAACCAAAAAGAAAGATGACAGACAAATGATACTATTAAGCTTGCTCCAGATAGTTTGCTACTGTACCATGAAAATAATTTCAAGCAAATCTAGCAAGAAAAAAATTCTCTTGAATAGGTTCTTATGCACTATTTAATCAGAAATACTCCAAGCAAGAACAGAAATTTCCTGGGATGGGGTATGTGTATGTGTGCAGCCAGGTAATCTAGGATAAAAAGAAATGATCCTTTGGAGTGATGTGTCTCTTGTGCACCAAACTGGAAGAAAAGACTGCACACAGGTACAGATGATGAAATTTGCCAACTCTGTCCATCTTGTTTGTGTCAAACTCCCCAGTCAATTTAGTAATAATATAAGGAGAAGGAAAATCAAATTACCGTATTAAAAGCAGAACTAAACATTTCTAATTTTGTCCTGCAGAAGAACTAAGTAAGGCATGTAATTCAAGACAGTTTGGGTGTAATATATGGAAAGTCATCCTTCCACAAATACAACTTATCAAAATTAATATTTCTGTATTACCATGATAATGTTATTGCTTACCGCATATTTAGTTTTATTAAGATGTCTTCTCCTTTACCTTATGGAATTAAAAAATGCATATTTCCCCGGGGGAGAAAAAAAAAAAAAGCCAGGACACCCGTTTTTTTGCTCCTTTAGCAGAACACTAATCCAATCCTAAAACTTTTTAGTTTCTACCAATTAAGAGTTTTCTTTCGACCATATCTACTGGGGACCCCTAAAATAGTCATACTGGTTTAGAAAGTGGCTGCGAAAGGGTGGACTGAAATCAAAGGAAGGGAATGGAGTAATACTTTAGTTGTGTAAACCTTAGATGCCACGAGAAAGCTGCAAAATTACAATAACATTAGAAAGAGAGTTTAAATCCACTCCTAGGCTGGGTTGGCAGCTGAGATTAGTACTCCACAGGTGTCCTTTGTTGGCCAATTCCAAAAACCAACCTGATATTTCTTTATATTTCTTCCAAAAATATTGAACTTTTAAGGAAACACAAACAGAAAATACATTTTTGCTGATACACACAAAGTTCTCACAAGGCACAATAATTTTCCTTGAGGAAATGTTAAATGTTAAAACCTACATAAATGTTAACTGAAGATATATGTATATAATATAAACATATGTTATAGAAACAAACCCCCCGTATATACTTTTCAAACATTTATCCTCAAAATCTAAGTTTTGATGAAAAAAGTAAGTTGAAAATAGGCTGTTTAGCAATAGAAGTTTCTGAAGTGCACAAACCTAGATGCTCTTGAAATTCTTTACATACAGAGGAAAATGAAATGTGGAAGTCTGACTAGACTTCTCAGAGTCTGAATGAATATTAAGTGCCAGATTATTACCTTTTCTACCCAGCTGCTAATTTTTTACCTTAAGTCAAACATTACATGTTTTCCTCCAAACAAATTTTAAGCAAGTAAGCAATGCCAGAAATCGGGAGCCTGTTCTTTACAGATGAGCAACTTTAAAGCACGCACATACTAACACAACATATAGTCAACGTTATGAATGGAAAACCCCAGCATACTAGCATTTTTACATACAGCTTGAAATAAAAGGTAGGAGCCACCTATTTTTGCATACTCACTGGTTTTGCACTGACAAATGCGACAACCATTTTGGTCCAGCTTGAAGCTATAGATACAGTCTTTTTCAGTCAAAGTGCAGTTCACCAAAGCCTCACAGGTGGGTGGACCTATTGTGATATAAGTTGGTTCTGGGGGTAAGAAAAAATAAAACAAATAAATTTGAAATTCCTCGAACATTTTAATTAAGTTCACAAAAATCCATACACAAAGCAGTAGTGAATAGTTTTATTTAATTTTGTTTCTGATGAATACTCTTGGTACTTCTGAAACAATAAAAGCAAAAGACTTTGTTTTGAAGTGATGTACACTCAACACAAAGAATATGAAGCTGCAGAAAATTTTTGAAGTATTGAAACTGGAAAGAAATACTACCTTTCTTTTTTCTCACTATGAAATCAGCTTTCCTGCATATGCAGTTTGAAACTAGGTGTAAAATATTTATTTTGCCCACTTTTCTCCAACAGTATTTAATAAAAACTTCATGCAGCTTTTTTTGCTTTAGAAACCAAAAAGAGCTTCCTCTGAAGCTCAGTTGATTGATACTACCAAGCTTTACATCAAAACACATGACTCAGTAGCCAAATTGTTCTCTGTGTGAATAAGATCACTTCTAATGAAATTTATAGCAGAAGAGAATCTGAATACCAAAAGGGAATGTAAGATTCACTGCATGTGAAAGACCTCTGGAAACCATTCAACACGTCTATTCATCAAAAACATCACTTCTTACAGTATACTTTGCAGTACCAGATTATGTTTTTCAAGTTGAGGATATTATTGCCAATTAGAAGTTACTTATAAACAGTATAATACTTACTTTTTGACACCATTTAAATATGTTGGAGTATGAAATTTGTTTTGATACACTGGGCAGCCAGAAATATTAATGCGTTCTAGTATACAAAGTTGTTAGAACAAAAGTCCAAAGACTTATGGAAATAACAAGGAACTTCAAAACTACTATCACAAAACAGGATACAGAAGGAATGAAACACCTATCTTTTCTGAATGAATTTTTACTCTGCGAGACTAATTTTGTTTAGCTTGTGTTTTTCACAGAACTCAGGCAATGAAGAACCAACGAATTTATAGTTATGAGCATTATTAACATTATAAAAAGTATTCTGGAAAAAAATTGCAAGACTTTAAAGAACTATGAGCTTTCATTTCACTGTTTCAATTGAGTGTATCTTGTCTCCTCATCTCAAGAAATGGAGACTTACAGGAAATTAATTTTAAAAAAATTCAGTGTATGTATTGCTAAATTGTGAAAATGATATGGACTGGAAGTGGCCACATCTTCCCATCTCTCATCCTCAAACCACAGATTTTGCCATTCTTACTTATAGGCAGATGGTTTTTGTTGCCAGAATAAGGGTAGAATATTACTCAGCATTGATTAAGCTGTTAGATGTATACACTGATAACCAAAATACTAATTTCTGTGCCTATTGGTTCCATGGCCAGCAGGCAGATTTTGCAACCATGTCTTCCAGTCAAGTGAAAATTATCCTATTACAAGAATGAGCTTTTCTGTTTTCATAGTCTTTCATAATTTTCAGCTTTCACAGCTTCTTCCCAGCCCTGCTCTTGCCAGCACAACAGTTTATACAGCTGATAAACATTTTTAATTGCTTTAAAATTAAGGTCAGCTAACTAGAGTTTGGAGGGAAAAAACTGCATTAAAGACACCACAGTTAAGTTAAAGAACTTCAAACTTATCTCAGAGGTCAAGGTTCAGATTACTCACTTTGCTGAAAGTTTCAAAGTAACATTCAAATTCTATTGTTTGTATAATTTTTAGTAGGAAAGTAGCAATACACTTTATAAATATATAAACCAGCACTAACAGCTTTGTTCATATACAAGGTGGAAATCTGTATAATGGTATCCATGTATCCCTAGACCCCTCAAACTTCTTCTAGTTTAAATTAAAATTTTTCATATTTTTGTAAGGGTTTAATATAAATTACTAGGTTGGAGGTCAAAGGATGGGTTTCTGTAAATTCTTCATTTCACAGCTCTGAGTTTGCACAAGTAGTGCAGAAGAGTAACCATAATGAGCAATGTATTTTAAAATCCATGGATTTCCAAACTAGACTTCTTTTAAGCTCAGTGAACTTTTTGTATTTGTTTCCAAGTATATTCAGCAAACTATCTGACTAAATCATATTCGTGTCTAATACTTAACATTTGCAACTTTAACAAACCATTACTTTAGGAATAATGAACATATTGCTATATACCAATAACATCTGACATTCCAGAAACACCATTAATTAATCCCAGCTGTTTAGGCCTCTGAGTATATAAACTACTTTTGCAACCAAACTGATTTTTTAGCATCTGGGGACTATTCTGAAAACCTCCTTTCCTACCTCACTCCATTCTCTAACCAAAATATCCTAAACATGCAAAAGATCAGAATGCAAGAGTTACCCTGAAGCTACGTTCAGGTTACTGGTCAGCCAGCCCAAACAAGCCCAAACCCTACACTTCAAAAGACCAAAAGGCCACAGCAATGCTTATACTCACAGGTAGTTAAAACCACTACAAATCATATGAATCATTAATGCTACACAAAGCAAAGTTCACAGGCAGTAACACAAGCTGGAGAACTGAAGAAAACTTTAGGTTTACCATAGGAAGGCAGAATGCAAAGTAAAACTTGTAGTTCAAAAAAAGCCACAAAACCTTACTGAAAGTTGAGATGCAGGTTAATTAGTAGTCATTGATCCACTTGGGTGTAAACTAAACCTAGAGAGAAAGAGGATTGTGTTTTACCTAAGTCCACCCCTCAAGATAACTTCCCTTTACTTGCATGTATAATTCAATATCTCAGAAAAAGAACAGATATTTGTTATATCATTTCTGTGGTGACTTTCCAGAACTATTTCTCTGTGTTTTGTGCCTTGGACACACCTAACAGTTTTTTGTGTGCTTGATACACCCCATAACGTGGTATTTCTTTCAAGGGATGAAACTGAACTGTTGTTATATTCATTTGAAAGGATTTTGTTAGTCTCCTATTGTGTTTTACTATTCTGTTACCTTCCACTTTTTGGCCTGCTTTCAGTATCCTCAGCATTTCCAGAGAAGCTACAAATCTGCTTTTCCCCCCTCCTCTCCCTAAAGGTAAGCCCTGAGATACAGTAATTTTATATGCATGCCTGCTACTCAATGAGCTGCAAGTAGAGGACAAAAGAAATAATTTCATTCCCTGCCCCCACATGTGCAAAAATGCAGGCAGGGTAAAAAAAAAAAAAAAAATCAGCCCTTTTCACTTCACTAGACAAGACTCAACAAATAAAGCCAGCTCTGCTATGCCAGACTTCTGGCTATTTGAATAGGCAAGCAGTAGCTAAGCTTGAAAAAGCTGTACCACGGCATGAGCTGAACTGGGCTTTCACTGCTGCTCTTGGTAGAAACTGCAGAAGAAAGATCCAGTGCACAAATACACAGACAATGGGTGGGAAAAACGGGTGCTGTTTCTGCCTGTGTGGTTTACCAAGGATACAACTATACCATAGAGAGAAGAAAACAGAGAGAAGGGGATTGAAGAGAGTCTGGGTAAAACAGTGGATTATTTAATAGAGCACAGGTTTTGCTGGTGACAAGTACTTATATATAAGGTTAAATGCAGATTCCTATTAGAACATCTTGCTTACACATATCTCTGAACCTAATACTTTCTGTGCTGAATTTTAGTGCAGAAGATTATTAATTTCCCTGCTGTGAGGTTGATAAAATTATTTGAATTAATTTTTTACTCTGCTATTTACTTAAAAACAACTTCAACAATTTTAAAATCCACAATGGATATTTCAGCCGCTGGTGGTTCATCAGTCTGACTAGTCCACTGAAAAACACTACAGTATGTGATCAAAACCCTGAATCTCATTCATTTTAGCTTGAAAAGGGAAAGAAGGGGAAATGGGGAAAGGAGGGAAAATAGTGACATACAAGTAATGGTTGGAGTTGGCTTTGTCCTTAAAGAGACTACATTAGCAATACCAATACAGAAACTGGTTGTCACCAAAAAAAAATAAAAAAAAGTCAAGGTAGAATATTTTCACTGGTATATTTCTATCCAGAATACTTTTATAATATGAGCAAAACCGATCCCTAGTCCCCTCTTTTTTGATTTCTGAGACCTCCCACTTCTCCTGAGTGATGTGACACAGCTTGTATTACAAAGAGCAGACATTTTCTTGTGTTAAAAATGAAAAGTACTATATATACACACACATTAGAACACAAGATGGTCCAGTACTGTGCCTTATATATAGATCTTGTTATATTTTGATGAGTATTGAGGTTCTAAGCTAAAGCTCAACCAAAGTATTCAGATATGGAGAGAAACTGATGCACCCATGTTTCAGTGAGATGAGGGGAAAATTTGTTTCTCAGGATTAGAATTTTATTATATACACAGTTTGATCAGTTGAAGTTATCAAAAAGAGGAGAAAGAAAACTAAAATACACCACAGATTGCTAAAGCCATGGAAAAAATAAAACGAAAGATAAAAAATCAGAGATGAATTATTGCTATGTCGTTGACTTCTACTGTTTATCTGAGTGTTTTTTCTTCTAACTTTGGAGATTTTATTAAAATTAACTAAAGAATTATATAGAAGTGAACAACAACAAAAAAATCCTTCCTAAAGGTGGTAGCAGAATGAAAAACTATACCCATCTTCAAATCTTAGTTGTTTAAAATCTGAACTCTGGCTATTGAATGTGTATCAGAAAACGAAGAGGGATTACACTTAACTGCTCCACTGCAAAGCCATGAGAGCACCAAGCGTTCAGTTTTGGTTTGTGTCACTAGACCTGCTTTGAGCAGGAGATAGTACTAGAAAATCTCTGACGGTCCTTTCTAACTTGCATGACTCCATGAATTTTACTTTCATATAAACAGGGGACATTTCCAGTGCAAGCAGCAATATCCTTGATAGATCCTAATCAAGGAAATGAAATCCAAAGACAAACATTTCAATTTCTGATGATTTCTGTATGCTTTTGCCAAGTACTGATCACCTTCCTCCTGCAATTTAAAGAACGTTTGCCTAACACCATCTTTTTGAAATCTACTTCATGATTTAAAAACTAGCTTTTATTCAGGAAG